ATAGCCCCACATCTTTTCTCTCGCTTCCTGCCAGCGAAGTCTCTGTGTCTGTGACTTGGCTCTCGCGGCGGCAAGTGTCGCTCTCTCGCTTCTTGTGGTTCGTAGCTTACTTCGATCGAAGCTATCGAGTCGACAGCAGCTGAGTGTTCAAGCTCAAGCTGTATTAGCCATTCGAGCTAGTAAACTGCGTGTTTCAAGCTCGACTCGTTGAGCTCTCGAAGCCAGCTTGACTTGGTTGCACCCCTACCCGTGACAGATATTTATGTCTTCTAAGCTCAAAAGGCCATGTTATCTACATTCTTAATTTTAATCTTATAGGTCCTCTTGACACCCGTAATGAGACGATAAACATAACTATTTTAATTTAGGCCCCTCCTCAATAAAACTTCTGGCTCCACCACTGCCTGCACAGTAACATAAGCAAGTAGCCAAATGAAACCCCAGAGCAAGTAAGGACATACTCAGATTCATTTCTTTGTCATATATTCTATTTTTTTTACATAGAAGTCCAAACCACAAATAATATTCTTATTTTCACTGTAAATTTAGGCTTCTTTGGAGACGCTTACGTACAAAAATTATAAATTTTATACAAAAATTTTATTTTAAGAAACAGTTAGAAAATCGTCCCAAACCAATCCTTAGAATAATCAAAATCTACTCAACACAAATTTTTATTTGAACTCATCAACCCTGATTTTGAATGCTGTAGGTTTCTTGAATTGCCCGAAAATTTTGTGGTTAATCAGATAAAATGTAAATAATATCATAAAACATATCATATGTAGTTACAAATTATGATATTACAACAACCTGTAATTAATTATAGTTTTTACACTAACTGCATTACAACAACTTAAAAATATGTTTTTTTTTGGAACCGGGAAATCTACCCGCTGCCACTTCAAAGGGAGTGCTTGGCAGCCTAACAAATTCATCGGCAAAACCTAGCGAGGCCACCCATCGGCATCTAGCCCGCACTTGCTTTGCCCCATTGAAGAGGCAAGGCTGTAGTAGAAGGGATTTGAAACCGGGACGGAGGGTTCCCAACCGTGTTCGCCTACCAACCACTCGAACCCTACCTAAAAACATGTAACTAATGATAGTTATTAAAGTTGAAACTCAACAACGTAAGAGCATCTTCAACCGAACGTCATTCGATCGTTTGCAGCTCCGGACAACATCCACCCACATGGCAAATGAAAACACATTTTTGCTTTTTATCTCGATTGTGAACCGTGCGATGTGAATATTGATGTCTCATTATTCAAAAATCTTTTCTGATAAATATTAGGGTATGCTTGAAAATAAATATAAAAATAGAGATGATAAAGAATATACACATAATATTATTTTCGATATTAGAAATAAAATTTGGTTGGAAATGAATTACTATTTGATATGACTTTTACTGTATTTTGAAGTAAAAATAGGTTCTTCGATTGGAGATGCCCTAACTACTATAAGAGAAAATAGTTACAAAAGCTGTTAAGCAATCTAGAAGAAATCCTCTTCTGCTAAAAGCTTGAAGATCTCAACCCTCACATGATGTCTTCATTAAATAACAGTACTTGACACGATATAGTTAAGTCCAAAGCAGTGCTAAGACATAGCTCATCTTGGTCTGTTAGTTGGTAGCCTAGGTCATGGGTTTGAGTTTTATGTATGCGACGTGTGTGTGAGTCTGCTTTAATTGGCCTAAATGTTTCAAAAAAAAAAATTATGCCAAGATTGGGTCGGGCTCGTATATTAATCAATAATATATATTTTTAAAAATTTTAAAGAAAAAAAAATCAAAATGATCTTTTAATTTTTTATGAAAATAAAAATGATTCCCAAATATATTAAAAATTTATATTAATCCATCAAATCTTTATGGGGGAATTCAAAATCTTTTAATATAATTGAAGATTATTTTAATTCTTCGTAAAAATTTTAAAATTCTAATCATACTTTAATTTAAAGTTTATTGAATTTTAAAATTTTAATAAATTTTATAAAAGATGAGCAGTAAATTGATTAAATTTTGTGATTATAAAGATGCAAATATTAGCGAATAGACTGATGATCCATTCACAGAAAGAAGTATTTAAAGTTGTTAACAATACCTTAAAATAAAATTAAAAAAAAAAAATCTCCCAACCGTCAGTTTTCCTGCGGATGGCTATTGCCAGTCTGCCGCCCCGCACCCATCCCAATCTCCTCACCCGCCACCACCACTCTCCGGCCAAATCCACTTTTCCTACCTCATTTCTGATTCTCCGAAACCCTAATCGTAGCTTTTCGTCCTCTTCTACTACTGTCGTTACCTTCGCCTCCTCTTCCTCATGGGAGCAAGAGGAGAAACGATGGCTCCGCGAAGAGCAACGGTGGCTTCGAGAAGAGCAGCGTTGGCTCCGAGAGGAGCTTCGATGGAGTTCCGAGCGCGAAGCTCTTCTTAGAGAGATAGCGGCTCTGCGGCTCCGGATCGATGCCCTCGAGGGCGAACGTTCCCCGCTCGCTGATGCCGTCGAGGCGGTGCTGGTTGCGGCGAAGGAGCGGCGTCTTATTGCTGGAGCTGAGAAGATTATAGTTGAGGAAGATGTGGTGAAGGAGATGGTTCACGAGGGGATAAGGGTGCCGGAGGAGGAGGGGGAGAAGGAGGTGCTAAAGGAGAACAAGGTTGTCAATGAGAAGAAGGAGAGGAAAACTCTGAGGATGGGATCAGAGGGAGAGGACGTACGAGAGATGCAGGTTTGCGTGATTTTTGCAATTTTCGGGATTTGTCTGTATCTCAAGGATTGCTTAAAAAATAGTTTGCTCAAAACTAAGTTAGGGTGTCTACAATGATGCAGGAGGCTTTGCAAAGGTTGGGATTTTATTCTGGTGAAGATGACATGGAGTACTCCAGCTTCTCCACTGGAACAGACCGTGCTGTTAAAACTTGGCAAGTGAGTGATCTCTGCTGGCTTTAAAATCAAATATTCTAGTGTCCTGTTCTTCCTAGAGAATTGGATCATGAAAACTTTGGTATTACAGGCTTCACTGGGAGCCACAGAAAATGGGATTATGACTTCAGAGCTTTTGGAAAGGTTATTTGTGGAGCTGTATTTGAATGATTCTAATACAAAAGGAGGTGCAGATGAGAGAGAGAACACGACACCAGTGGAAAGGAAGGTAAGTACCTAACTGATTAGGATTTCCTGTTTGCAATTATTTAATTGGATGCCACAGTTCAAATTACGGTAACTAAATACCTGCAAGTAATTCTTTCCCATTGCTGCACCGAGCGATTCGGTTATGTTATCATTTTCTGGCTTTTTGAATGTTGAACATACTGGGATTCCTATTCATGCGGCTCATATGGTGACGAACATGGCATGATTAGTGTCGGAGGATGTGTGGCACAGAAATTCATGAGAAAAAAGCTACCACACATACAAACCGACCACATTTCCTTCAACCTTGTTTCCTATAGACACCTCACTGGCTCACTCCAATACCTCACCATCACTCATCCAAATATTTCATTAGCCGTCAATCAACTAAGTCAACACATGCACGATCCTCTACAACATCATTTTCATCTACTCAAATGACTATTCCATTACATTAAAAGAACGCTCTACTTTGGTCTTCCGATCACCAAAGGTCTTCTCACACTTATATCCTCCTTTGACTCAAATTGGGCTATCATACCAACAATCGCTGCTCCACCATTGTGATGTGCTACCTGCACCAAGAGTACCCGGAACCTGCAAGAAAAACAATGAAACAGGAAAAGAAGCAACAAGGAAGGGAATTCCTCTGTAAAACTGTAGTATATTTCTTTTTACCTTCTCTTTCTGATTTTCACTATATATATGGGTATACTTGCCTCCCTTACTAAACCGATACCAGCAAATGAAAAGTAAAATAAAAACCCATTATACTAATATAGCTAAAAGACGAAAACGGTTAGTAGCTAATGGAAACTAGGAAAAAGGCGTAGTGATATCATAATTTGGCGATCTTGGGCTCGTTGGATTCGTCTTGTCTAGCCGCTCGATTCGACTATAAGCATGTTATGTTTGGAAACCATTTGTTAATCCAAGTTATGGTTTGAACCTTCCAAATATGCTTCGGGTCTTTGATTTGGAGTCATTTTGGTTCGGATTGAGTTGAATTTGGTGTCGTTAGGTTTGTGTTTTTTAGAGGTTCAATTCGACTGTAAGTTTATTGAAATCGGAGTTCATATAGTCTCCGAATTAATTTTTGAAGTTACCAACTTAATTTTGTATTGAGATTAAAAAAAAAATCAATTTTTTTAGGGGGGCACGTGCCCCCCCTTGCCCCCCCCCCTCCCTCCGCTCATGATCGTGGAACGTGCATCTGAAATGTGAGATGGCTGCATCCGATGGCTATAATAGTCCGGTTCACAAGGTTGCACTGCATCAGTTCCCTCTTGCTAACAAGAGTCGACATTACCACTGTTGAGTAAATCTGTTCCCTCTGAGGGTTGATAGGGGTGAATGTCGGACACATTAAAAGTGGATGGTGTGTGTATATTTGGAGGCAAATCAACTATATACACATTATCATTAATGCGCCTAGTTATAGGAACTGGTCCAATCTTGCGAGGACTGAGTTTCGAATATTGACCAGCGGGAAAACGCTCCTTGCGCAAACGAACCATAACGAGGTCCCCTGGTTTGAATACCTGTTTGCGCTATATGAAGGTCAGCTGCTTGCTTGTAATGGTTGTTGGATTCCAGGAGCTTTGCTTTAACCTCTTGAAGCACTGAGGCATGTTGTTCCGTGAAAGTTGTTGCAACAGTTGTGCGACATTTAGGTAAAACTGCAACATCTATGAGATGATTTGGTGGCTTTGTGTACACAATACTGAACGGGCAGCGCCCCGTTGAGCAGTTGGTCATGGAATTGTATGCGAATTCTGCCTGACCAAGAACTTCATCCCATTGTTTCGGTCGGTTCTACACTAGGCATCGTAACATATTAGCTAATGTACGGTTTTCCACTTCAGTCTGACCGTCGGTTTGGGAGTGATAAGCCGAGCTAAGTTTAAGCTCCGTATGTAAGCGACTCCACAAATCTCGCCAAAAATGGCTAATGAATTTCACATCTCAGTCAGAAGTAATGCTGCGAGGTACGCCATGTAAGCATACAATCTCTTTAAAAAATATTCGAGTCACATTGACTGCATCAAAAGTCTTTTTACATGCTATGAAATGTCCATTTTCGAAAATCTGTTAACAACCACCAAAATAGAATCTACTCCATGCTTTGTTTTAGGCAATCCCAGTACAAAATCCAAACTGATATCCTCCCAAATGGAGTCAAGTACAGGAAGAGGCATGTATAAACCAGTGTTTTGAGCCACTCCTTTATATTCTTGGCAGATAGAGCATCGCTCCACAAATTTTAAGACATCTCTGTGTAGCCAGGGCCAATAAAACTTGCTTTGTAGTTGTTGAAAAGTCTTTTCTCTACCCAAATGCGCTGCCAAACCGCCTCCGTGAGCTTCCCGAATAATTTGCTGGCACCAAGAGGAATCGGGAATACACAGCAAATTTCCTTTAAATAAGAACCCATGCCTTATAGAAAAATCTTTCAGTGGTGTTGAGTTGCTGCACTGTCTCCATATGTGGCCGAAATCCCCATCTTCATCATATAGATCCTTCAAGCAGTCTAAGCCTATGATCTCGGTCTGCAGCTGTGTAATCAGCGCCACTCTTCTACTAAGAGCATCAGCAACTCGATTGGCTTGGCCTGATTTATGCTTCAATACAAAAGTAAATTTTTGCAAAAATAATATCCACCTCGCATGGATGCGATTTATCGTCTTTTGACTGTTTAAGTATTGAAGCGATTTGTGATCGCTGCGTAGAACAAAATCTTGGTGAAGCAAATAATGTTCCCAATACTTAAGAGCTCTTACGACGGCGTACAATTCTTGTTCATAAACTGTCCATTTTTGCCTGCTCGGACTAAGCTTTTCACTGAAATACTCTATGGGTTTATCGAGTTGCAATAATACAGCTCCAATTCCTACGGCGGAGGCGTCCGTTTCTACTAGGAAGGGCTTCTTAAAATCAGGCAAGGCAAGCCCTAGAGCTAAATTTTGAATGTTTGTTTAATGCACTCAAAACTTCGCTGCTGTTCTGTGCCCCAAACAAAAGTCTTTAGCTTCAAACAATCTGTAATTGGTGCCGTGAGTATACTTAAACCCTGTATGAATCGTCTGTAGAAATTTTTGAGTCCGTGAAAACTACGCACATCAAACAATGACCTTGGCGTAGGCCATTCCATAATAGCCGCAATTTTACGCGGGTCTACTGCCACGCCGCGGGCAAATACAATGAAGCCAAGAAAGTACACTTGAGAGGTGCCGAACTCACATTTAGACAGATTAAGGAATAACCGATGAGCTCTCAAAACTTGAAAAATTTCAGCTAGGTGAAGCAAATGGGAATCCAATGAATTGCTAAAAACAAGTATATCATCAAAGTATACCACACATGACTTTCCGAGAAAAGGTTTTAGTACCTCATTCATTAGCCGCATGAATGTCGCCGGAGTATTACACAATCTGAAGGGCATAACCCGCCACTCATATAGCCCTTGGCGTGTTTTAAAGGCGGTCTTCCATTCGTCTCCCGGGTGAACTCGAATTTGGTGGTATCCGCTTTTGAGGTCCAATTTAGTAAAGATCTCTGCTCCGGCTAATTTGTCCAAGAGTTCATCAATGCGAGGGATCGGAAAATGGTACTTGACTGTGATTTTATTGATTGCACGACCGTCTATACACATCCTCCACTGGCCATCTTTCTTGGGCACCAACAAGGCCGGGACAGCACACGTGCTCAGACTTGGTTGAATGAGCTGTTTTTCCAGGAGTTCGTCAATGATTTCTTGCAATATTGCGTGTTCTTTGGGGCTCATCTTATAGTGGGGAAGATTTGAGAGTATTGCTCCAGCATTAAATTCTATTTGATGCTGAATATCACGCAAAGGCGGAAGTCCCTCCGGAATTTCAGCTCGTGCAAGGTCTTCAAACCGTTTCAACAAAGTTCGAACAGAGTCAGGCGTTACCGAAACTAGCGATTCTGGCTGTGTATCCGTCACTACTAAGGCTATGATTTCATTCTCTGTTTGTCCCGTGGCTAATAGAGCACGTCCCCCCACCAACTGAAGAGCTGAATTAGGCTCATTACTATTCGTTTTAGAATCGGGACTGAACGGTAGTAACCGAATTTTCTTACCCTTCCATTCAAATGAATATGTATTTAATATGCAATCATAGGTAGCCCCAATGTCGTACTGCCATGATCTGCCCAAAATAGCATGCCCGACGTCCATATCAATGACGTCACACAGAGCTTCGCACATGCACTGTTTCCCGATGGAAAATGTAATATGGCACATTTCTGTCACAGTTACTTCCATACCTTTTTTGATCCAGCCAATCTTGTAAGGTTGGGGGTTCTTTTGAGTCTTTAGTTGTAACGCATGAATGAGTGAATGAGAGACAATGTTCTCCGTACACCCATTGTCAATAAGAAGGTCGCAGACTTTACCCTCAATCATGCATCGGGTGCAGAAGATGGCATTCCTTTGTGACTTAACTGGTTGACGAGGGGCCAATAATAATCTTTCCAAGACACAAATGACCACATCTCCCTCATCCACCTCCAGCTCTTCAACTATAGCTTCACCATCATCATCAATTTGATTTTCAGAACTTTCTGCTTCCCCTTCTACCAACTGAATGCGGGGTCGAGAGGGACACTCATTAGATTTGTGGCCCGGCTGGAAGCATCGGAAACATTTGTAAGTGGCTGGCTTTGAGTAAGGATTACTTCCTGGTTTTGGCATGGCACCCTTGTTGTCTCCTGTTACTGTTTTGTTGGGATCGGTTCCCGAACTTACCACCTGCGGCTTACTCACAGGGGTAGCAATTCGTTGATCGCCGGAGGGCTCTACTGCTTGCCGGTGACTGGAATAGCTTGGAGAGTGTCGAGTCGTCTGCATTTCAGTCTTGATGGCGAAATTAACAGCCTGCGAAAGTGACCATACGGAATTTAATTCTAATTTGTCTTGCAAATTATCCTTCAATCCGCCAATATACCGCGCCACCAACTGGTTTTCTGATTCACTGAGGTTGTTTCTCGCACTTA